AGAGGCGAGTTTTGGTGCGCACGCTGGGGTCTTCAGACATGCCTCCGGACCCGAAGCGGGCCAGGCGCGCTTTGGCTTCGCCCTTGGCCCACCCGCGGATTGGGGAGAGGAGAGGAGGCAGGGTGGAGCGCCGGAGGATCGGGAAACGGAGCCGGTCATGGGGAAGGGATCGAACGCAGAGAACGATTGAGCGCCGGCTCTGCTCACGCACCTGGTGGCCGGGTGGAGCAGGAACGAGAGGGGCTAGGCGAGGCTCAAGGGCCCGGCCCCTTTGGGAAGAGGATCGCCCGGCAGTGAGGCAAGAAAGCCGAGGCTCCCCCCGGACTGCTAGGGCTGTTGTGAGCTGAGGGGGCGCTCCTCAAGTGGCGGTCGAGGGGCATTTACAGAGGCGCCTCTGCACCCCTGGCAAAAAAAAAGTGTTCTGCGACCGCTTACTTCGCGTAATGGACGAGCCGCCCCTGCCCCTCCTCCCCCAAGCAGTCACGAGCATCGTCATAGCGTGGATTGCGCTACCTTGACCTGCATGACAGCTGTCGCCATGCCCGTGGGCCCCAACTGGACATCGCCATGGAGGTGCCCACTCGGGTGGTGTTGGCTGTTGTTTCCTAACAGTTCTGCCTCCCTCTCGTTGCTAAGGGAGGGGACGCAGCCAGGGGTGGCTCGTCCATTATGCGAAGTAAGCGGTCGCAGAACACTTTTTTTGCCAGGGGCGCAGAGGCGCCTCTGTAAATGCCCCTCGACCGCCACTTGAGGAGCGCCCCCTCAGCTCACAACAGCCCTAGCAGTCCGGGGGGAGCCTCGGCTTTCTTGCCTCGCTGCCGGGAGATCCTCTTCCCAAAGGGGCCGGGCCCTTGAGCCTCGCCTAGCCCCTCTCGTTCCTGCTCCACTGGGTGCGCAAGCAAAGCCGGCGCTCAATCGTTCTCTGCATTCAATCCCTTCCCCATGACCGGTTCCCTTTCCCAATCCCCGGCGCTCCACCCTCCTCCTCTCCTCTCCCCAATCCGCAGATGGGCCAAGGGGCGGAGCCGCCGTGCCTGGTCCGCTTCGGGTCCGGAGGTGTGTCTGAAGACCCCAGCGTGCGCACCAAAAGTCGCCTCTTCTCCTGACTTTCTCTTCAGCCATTGGGACCAAGAGAGAGGGAGAGAGAGAGAGCCCTCCGGCTGGAGGTATCTCCCACCTCCGCTCCCTCCTTTGTTTTTGTGCCTACCTTCAGGAAAGGTGGGCATCTCCACCTCTCTCTCTCTCTCTCTCTCTCGGTCCCAATGGCTGAGGAGAAAGTCAGGAGAAGAGGTGACTTTTGGTGCACACGCCGGGGTCTTCAGGCACGCCTCCGGACCCAAAGCGGGCCAAGCAAGGGAGCAAGTGCGGCAAGTGTAGTTACTGGGATGTATAGTTCACCTACAATCAAAGAGCATTCTGAACTCTACCAATGATGGAATTGAACCAAATATGGCCACACAGAACTCCCACGACGAACAGAAAATATATATCAATGATTGGTTGGGGGGAGGGCGCCAAAATACTGTTTGCTTACCACTGAAAATTACTTAGGGTCGCCTCTGCTTTAGTGTTCAGCCCATCTTCAGATTTCTTTTATTGTCCACTGACATTCCATTTTCCTTTCTGAAGTTGGGGATAAATTATGGTAACTGTTTTGGGAGTCAGTGATCAGAGATTCGGATTATAATAAACACTACCCTGATTCAGGTGGCCTTCACAAGCCCGGTTTGCCTTGAGTTTAAGAACAGCCTCATGAGCAGTACTGACTTCCAGATTCATGTTTTCCCGCTATAATCATTTCTCTGTGTTTGGTTACTTGGCCGTAGTTGAAGAGACAGGTTTGAATCCTTGGGTTTCAGTGCTGAGGAACCTTAAGTAGTATGAACCTAAGAGAGGTGCTTACCGTTGAAAATTACCTAGGGCCGCCTCTGGTCACGAGCATCGTCATAGCGTGGAATGCGCTACCTTGACCTGCATGACAGCTCGAGGCAGAGACGCTGTCGCCATGCCCATGGGCCCCGACTGGACATTGCCACGGAGGTGCTCACTCGGGTGGTGTTGGCTGTTGTTTCCTAACAGCTCTGCCTCCCTCTCGTTGCTAAGCGAGGGGACGCAGAGCCCTCACCCCACTGGCCCGTCTGCCTTCGGGGGAGCGAGGCTTCACTGGCCAAAGTGGGCACAAGGGAGGTAGGGTGATTTGGGACCACCCTACCTGCGAGACCGCACCACAGTCTACGAACCCACACGCTCACTCCGGTCATCAGGAGAGGCCCTGCTCGTGATCCCGCCCGCGTCGCAGGCGCGTTTGGTGGGGACGCGGGACAGGGCCTTCTCTGTGGTGGCCCCCCGCCTCTGGAATGCCCTCCCGAAAGATCTCAGACAGGCCCCTACATTGGCAGTCTTCAGAAAGAACCTGAAAACCTGGCTGTTCCAACGTGCCTTCTCAGATTAGGAACCCCACTACCAAAGCCCAGAAGCACTTTAGTAGAGTCAAGATCACCTTCACCGCACACTGCACTTATATTTTAATCCCTTATCCCTCCGACACTTCAGCACTTTTAACCCTGTACCCTACTCCTGGCCGGCTCAGTTTTTAATAATGTCCTGTTGTACTGCTACTGTTATTGTTTTCTGCTCTAACTGTTTTATTTGCTATGTATTGTATTGTTGTATTGTGTTGGGCTCCGGCCTGTTGTAAGCCGCATCGAATCCCTTGGGAGATGCTAGCAGGGTACAAATAAAGTTATAATATATAATAGGGCTGGGCGGTTTCATTTCGTTAATTCGTAATTCGTTAAAAATTCGTTATTTTTTTTGTTAACGAAGCGATAACGAACCATTCTGGAGCAACTTAAAAACGAAACGAATGTTTCAATTCGTTTCGTAAATGCTTCGTATTCCGTTATGTATTTGTTTCGTTATTGGTTTAAGGTCGTTTCGTTATTATTTCCGCATGTCTGGGGCAAGGTTTATAGTTGTTTTTTGTTTAATTAGTGAAAAAAAATTATAATATCATAGAATCATAGAATCAAAGAGTTGGAAGAGACCTCATGGGCCATCCAGTCCAACCCCCTGCCAAGAAGCAGGAATATTGCATTCAAATCACCCCTGACAAATGGCCATCCAGCCTCTGCTTAAAAGCTTCCAAAGAAGGAGCCTCCACCACACTCCGGGCAGAGAGTTCCACTGCTGAACGGCTCTCACAGTCAGGAAGTTCTTCCTAATGTTCAGATGGAATCTCCTCTCTTGTAGTTTGAAGCCATTGATCCGCGTCCTAGTCTCCAAGGAAGCAGAAAACAAGCTTGCTCCCTCCTCCCTGTGGCTTCCTCTCACATATTTATACATGGCTATCATATCTCCTCTCAGCCTTCTCTTCTTCAGGCTAAACATGCCCAGCTCCTTAAGCCGCTCCTCATAGGGCTTGTTCTCCAGACACTTGATCATTTTAGTCGCTCTCCTCTGGACACATTCCAGCTTGTCAATATCTCTCTTGAATTGTGGTGCCCAGAATTGGACACAATATTCCAGGTGTGGTCTAACCAAAGCGGAATAGAGGGGTAGCATGACTTCCCTAGATCTAGACACTATGCTCCTATTGATGCAGGCCAAAATCCCATTGGCTTTTTTTGCCGCCACATCCCATTGTTGGCTCATGTTTAACTTGTTGTCCACGAGGACTCCAAGATCTTTTTCACACGTACTGCTCTCGAGCCAGGCATTGTCCCCCATTCTGTATCTTTGCATTTATCACACCAACAGTCAACAACAGAGGGAGAGAGAAGCTTCAGAAGTTCCCCCTGTCCCATTTGGAGGTTTTTTGGTCGCGCCCGCCATTAACGAATCGATTCGTATTGTTACAGGCCCGTAGCCAGGATTTTGTTTCGGGGGGGGGGCTGAATTTTTTTTCAGGGGGATTTCGGGGGGGGCTGAGTTTCGGGGGGGGCTGAGTCTGAGTAAAAGAGGGTCTAGCCTAGCAAACCTTTTGTATCATTACCCCAATACCCCCATGCATATGGGATATATTGAGTATGGTGATCAGATCATGATATGAATAAACATAGCAGTTTAAATAATGCACCAATAAGGCCTTTTCGCGAAGCACCATGAAAATTTCGGGGGGGGGGCCTGAAGCCCCCCGACCCCCCCCCAGCTACATGCCTGGTTTCGTTATTGTTTTTGCAAGTTTTTACCATTCACGAAATTTTGCAAATATCGAACTTTTAAAAAAATTCGGAATTCTTCTAAATATCGAAGCGTAAACCCCCCCCAAAACGAATCGATTTTAGAAACAAAATTTTCCGTTGTTACCCAGGCCTAATATATAATAATAAGAGTCCGCTCAGGTGGGCCAGCGGGGAAGGAACCCTAGCGGGGGAAGCCCGCACGCCTGCCCGCCGCCAGGGAAAACCCGGCTTGTTGTGATCACGTGATTGGACTGGAGAGGAGTGGAGAGGCAGGCAGCGCCAGCCGAAGAGAGCACCTCCTCCTCCTCCTCCTCCTCCCGCCCCGCTCGCGCCAGGTGCGGCCCAGGCCACGCCCCCTCCCCGGCTCCTCGTCTGGCGGCTCCCTCCCTTCCGCTGCTCCCGCGCGTGCCTCTCGCTGCCGCCGCATCTTCCTCCTCCTCCTCCTCCTCCCTCCGGAGCAGATTGCATGTTTGCCGGCTGCCCAGAGAGAGGCGGCGCCCGTTTGGGAGCGCAGCAGCACCATCGAGAGGAGGAGGAGGAGGAGGGCGCGGCGGGAGAGGAGGAGGCCGCACAGGTGCGCAGCCAGGGAGGCACAGAGGGCAGCCCTGCCAGAGGAACGCTCCGAGAGGCGAGCGGATTGCGGGGGGACGGGGGGGGGGAGCTCTGCCCTTCCTCCTCCACCTCCTGCGTTGCTGAAGCCCCCCACCCGCTCCACTCGAGACGCCCCTCCCCCTCCCAGGCCCCTCCCCCCTCCCGACCCACTTCGGGGCGATGCTGCTGCTCCTTCTGATGCCGCCGCTCCCTCCTCCTCCGCCGCCGCCGCGGAACGCCGCTTACTGAGGCCGCGGAGATCGTGCCGAGCGAGGGAGCCTGCCTGTCTTCCTGCCTGCCTCCCTTCCTTCGGCGGAGCATGGGCGAGAAGGCGCCGCCTGTACGCCCCGTGGCTGTGGACCCGGACTTCGAGCCGCGGAGCCGCCCGCGCTCCTGCACCTGGCCGCTGCCACAGCCGGGCTTCCCCGGCGCCGAGGAGGAGGAGGAGGACGAGGAGGGCGAGGGGGTCGAGGGAGGCGGGGGCCGGCCCGGGCAGAGCGCCCACGAGCGGGGTGGCGGGGGTGGGGGGTCCGGCCCGGTAGCGCCTCCCCCGCCGCCTCCTCCGCCCGCCGCCTCCTCCGCCTCCCCGCTGGAGCCTGGGCAGCAGCATCAGCAGCAGCTGCGGAAGGCCAAGACCTCTCGGCGCAACGCCTGGGGGAACCTCTCCTACGCGGATCTCATCACCCGCGCGATCGAGAGCGCCCCGGAGAAGCGCCTCACGCTCTCGCAGATCTACGACTGGATGGTCCGCTATGTGCCCTACTTCAAGGACAAGGGTGACAGCAACAGCTCCGCCGGGTGGAAGGTACGTCCCTCCCCTTGGCTTTCCCTCAACTTCCACGGAGGACCCCCCTCCTCCTCCCCCGCCTTCTCATTCCGCGCTCCTTTGCGGGTGGGACTTCCCCGGAAAGGGCAGCATTCCCGGGTGGAGAACAGGTGGCAGCGGCGGCAGGTCCAGAAGCAGAAGAAAGAAGGGAGGGGGGAGCCAGGGCTGCCTCCCCACGGCACGGTGGCCCCAAAGGGCGGAGGGGAGAGGTCTCACCTGACAAAGTTCCTGCCTCTGGGAGCGGTGAAGGGAAACCAGGCCTGGGCCAACCTTGGCCCTTCCCCTCCCCGCACAATAGCTCCAAAGAGATGTTAGGAATTGTGGGAGTTGGAGTCCGAAACGCTGGCAGGCAGGCAGGGAGTGAGGGACGGGCCAGGTCTGCCCAGGCTTGGTCTGCACGGGCCACTTGCATTGTGTGGCAATATAGATGGGAAGAGGGATGACACTGGTCCTGGCCTGGTGGAAGAGATGCCTCTTTCCTCCTCAGTTGACTGATTTCCTTGCAAGAATGACGCTGGGGCAGATGCACGGATGTCGGAGAAGTGCCACCATGCCTCTCCTTGTGTGGCGATGTGACACCCATGGGTCTGGTGGGACTTAGAGGCAGAACTGAGTTTGGAGCCTTGGTTCTGGTGGAAGTGCTTGGAGTAGCAGAAGGATGGTCCTGCAGGATTCGGGAGAGCGAGTGGAAGTGGGCAAGGAAGCAGCAGGTCTCGCCAGAGCCTTCCCCCTCTGAGAATTTGAGAGGGGAGTCTTACCACCACCCCCTCCTCCTGCACATGATGATGCAACTGAGGACCATTTCCCATGGCGAAAATATTTCTCCTGTATTCAGGTTGCGCTCTGCAAGGTGGGAAACTAAACGTGCAGTCCAGCCATCCACAGGTGTTAGTGAGGAACTCTGCCAGCCCGTGATGCTCCCTCCGGGCACAGAGCATGCCTGCTCATTAACCCTCATAGGACTTGCTATGCCTCTTCCTCCCTCCCTCCTGTCTGTTTCTGATGTCTTGCCTTGGATGAGAAGGGAAATGATTGGCAAAGGTGTTGTTGCTTCTCTTGGACGAGGTTGGGGTGTGTGCCTTTGCAACTGTGTCTTTGATGGACAGCCTGCAAGTGAGACGAGCGAACCTTGTGGCACTGGGATGGGGGCAGCGGGAAGACCTGATGCTGGGCTGTTTCATCCACCCTTCTGCTCCTGATAGACAGAAGTGCTGAATAGAAGGTGCCCTACCCTTTTATTGTGATTTCGTGTAGACGGGTGTTGCAATCCAAGTATATAAAGAAAGTGAGAGTATTGCAGGGTTGGGGAGGGAGACTCTCCGCCTGTAGTCCCCTTGAGTGGCATCCCGGGAAAGCCAGCCCTGCTTGCCCACCTCTTGCAATATCAGTAGCCACTTTGGACAAAAGGGAGCCAAAAGGTGTCAGGTTAAATGGGAGGCTGTGGTCCTTCCTCACTCTTTTGCCACTCCTAGCTGAATAGGATTGTTAGTCTTAGCAGTGGATCTGTCAATAACTGGAGGATTCTGGTTCCACATATCATTCCCATTGAGAACACAGGTTTCCAGGTGGAAGGAAGGCGGTCACAACAGCGGTTTGCTTGGCACACCTCCTTCCTCTTGGCATGTTTCTTCCTTTCTCCCCATAGTTGTGCCTCATCAAAATCCAAATCACCATTGGTCACAACTGAGCTCTGGTTAGAACACTCAAGTACCAGGGTCTCCCAGTTCTCAATATTCGTACCACATTTTTTAGTTTAGTGACAGGGGCGGCTCAACCCATTATGCAAAGTATAATAATATAATATTTATTTATTTGATCAGTCATATGACCATTTCAAAATAGAACATGAGTAAAAAACAAGGCAAAAAGGTGAGGACAACAGCTGACCTATTTATAATCTTATTTTCCTGGTTCTTCTTTCAGGAAATCTGCTCTTTTCTTAATAGCTTTCAGAATAAAAAGGCTTACTCTGATTATGCTGGATCTTTCCTGCCCTTGCAAGAGGGATGTCAGAATATCATTTCTGTTGGGAGACCTGCAGTTGGATAATATTGGATGTAAATATCTGTCTCGCAGTTCAGTATATGCTGGACAGTCAATTAAGAAATGTTCAATGTCTTTCACTGTTTGTTCTCCCCAGACGCAGAATCTCTCACTTCTTGGGATGTTACAGTAGCGCCCGGTTTGCTCCATAATACCGAGTTGTTCAAACCTAGCCCTAGTATATATTCTTCTTAAGGGTAGTGGAAGTGGAATAGTTAGGTAGTGCTCTAAATGAGTATTCCTTTTGTGGAAAGCTAAAATCCTTGTGGCTGAAGACCTACCTATGCCTATGCTCTCTAGGTCCAGCTGTGCATAGACATCCCGAATGCGCCATTATGCAAAGTAAGCATTTGCAGTATAGTTAATTTTGCCCAGGGGTGCTCTTGAGGTGCTCTTGGGGGAAAATAGACCTTGACATATGCGAGTTGTAGTTACTGGGATATATAGTTCACCTACAATCAAAGAGCATTCTGAACTCCACCAATGATGGAATGGAACCAAATATGGCGCACAGAACTCCCACGACAAACAGAATATATATATCAGTGATTGGTTGGGGGGGGGGGGGGCGCCAAAATACTGTTTGCTTACCGTTGAAAATTACTTAGGGCCGCCTCTATTTAGTGTTCAGCCCATCTTCAGATTTCTTTTATTGTCCACTGACATTCCGTTTTCCTTTCTGAAGTTGGGGATAAATTATGGTAACTGTTTTGGGAGTCAGTGATCAGAGATTCGGACTATAATAAACACTACCCTGATTCAGGTGGGCTTCACAAGCCCAGTTTGCCTTGGGTTTAAGAACAGCCTCATGAGCAGTTACTTACTTACTTGTGCCAAAGGTTACTTAGGCGATCCCTCGCTTTCCGAGGATGATTGTCTTCCAATGTTCTTGTGGGTCCGTATGTGGCTGTGGAGCCCTATTCTTGCTCTGCATCTTCTTCCACAGTGACTGACTTCCAGATTCATGTTTTCCCGCTATAACAATTTCTCTGTGTTTGGTTACTTGGCCGTAGTTGAAGATACAGGTTTGAATCCTTGGGTTTCAGTGCTGAGGAACCTTAAGTAGTATGAACCTAAGAGAGGTGCTGCTAAATTAAAGGAAGGGTCTGCTATAGATCATTCCATCTCACCTGGAATGGATAGGCTTCACCAACCAGTATCGTCTGCCTATGGTCCCTGGCTGAGAAGAGCCATTTTCTCTTAGATACTAGTGAGTATCCTGCTTCTTGCCATAGCTAGCCAGATATCTCTAGGAATCCCACAAATGGGACATTCGTGCCTTTCTTTATTTGATTCATTTTCTACCTTTCTCTGAAGTGGGAGAAAGTGGAACTTCAATGCAAAACAGCCTTCTCCTATTGTTTATCTCTTAGCATTAATGTGTTGCCTCTGAGAAAGATTTGTATTCTGCAGATTCCCTTCATTTCAGTGTCCTAGAGAAACCCAAGGGAAAGTAGGGGCAGTCTTCTGTCAGCAGTGCTGTATGGCTGGAGCCTCCAGGACTGTTTTTGTTAACCTTGGGTGTAGAGGCCATTTCACTGGACAGTTGATATGCAGGTAAGACAATGCTGGCATTATCATTACTTAGGCTGCCCGGGGTTTCAAAGGGACTCTGAGGCAGAGTTGTGGATCTTTGCTATAGCTTGTTCCCAATGTTGTTGTGGTGATTCGTAGTTTCAATCATTCCCCTCCACATGTTGCAAATTACTCCTTTTCAGAAACCTGGCTTTCCTTTTGTTGGATTTTTTAAAAAAGCCCAGTAAAACATGGCTTCTACATTTCCATGGTGGCTGGTAGGGACAAGAGCAATCTGAATGGCAGGTTTAAAGGGGGAAAGTTGCACGGTACACATGAGAGTAAAGTGTACACAAGAATTTACAGGTTCTCTTTTAGAGCTGTGCGGCTCCATCAAAACGGAGCTATTGAGATGCCATGCTTTTGGAACAGTTGACTGCATAATGCAGGATCCTGCAGAAAGATATGGCGTTATTATTATCCCTCACCCTCAACCTATCCTGGAAAACTACAAGGCAGTGCAGCTTTGTGGAATTCATAACCTGGTCAGTTACTTCTAAGTTGGGAGACAAAGTTCTGCAAAAGTGTGTCTCATCCTGTCAAACTGAAGTTGTCTGGACATATCCTTGAAAGGAATTGATGTTGGTTCTATCAAGAAAGTTCATCTTGAAGGCAGCTGCTTCTTTCTTTCCCTTCTGATTTTCTCAGAATCACTGATTTTTCTACAATGTAAAAGTCCCACGTCCCCTGGCTGGATGTGTAGTGGCAAAGGAGGAATACAGGAATGTTTTTTGCAATCTGGATTCGGACAGTGTCTAGTGATGACATTTGTATGATGCCATTCAGGCCCATAGCCAGGATTTCGATTCGGTGGGGGGGGGGGGGGCGGAGTTTTTTGGGGGGGGGGGAGTCTGAGTGAAAGAGGGTCTACCCTAGCAAACCTTTTGTATCGTTACCCCAATACCCCCATGCATATGGGATATATTGAGTATGGTGATCAGATCATGATATGAATAAACATAATAGTTTAAATAATGCACCAGTAAGGCCTTTTTGCGAACCACCATGAGAATTTCGGGGGGGGGGGGGGGGGAAGCCCCTCAAGCCCCCCCCCCCCCCGGCTACATACCTGATGCCATTGGTATCTTGATACAGCAAACCAGTAGATAGTACAATGTGGCAAAGATGATCACTTTCATCCAAGCTCATAGAAAGCGAACTGTGTGCGGAGTGTTTCAAATTGCCTTATTAGGATGCCAAATGGCATAGTAATCTTTGGAAAGGTTCATATCTCAGTAGGGGCAGCTTGTTGGTGAATTATAATGGCGTTGATGGAACTTATACCATAGCATTTCATTTTTGGGTCATTGTGGGGTGAGAATTCTATTTCAATCAAGCAACAATAAAAATCCACCCAACCC